AAATTTGGAAATATGACACTACATAACCAGTTTTTACCTATATAAAGACTAGGAATTATGACATTATATAACCAGTTTTTACCTATATAAAGACTAGGAATTATGACACTACATAACCAGTTTTTACCTATATAAAGACTAGGAATTATGACATTATATAACCAGTTTTTACCAATACATAGAGTTAGAACTATAACAAATGTAACACTATGTAGGCAGCTTTAACCATGAAGGTGGCTCAATGCTAAGCTTATAGTGTTAAAATTCAGAGTTTAATTCCTGCAGTGGGCACAACACAAAGCTTCACAATGAGCTAACAACAAAGAAACTAACCATAAACTTAAGGTTGATGATACAACACAAGTCTTAAGTAAATATGTTAATATGGTGTTATAATATGACTTAAGTTTCATGATTTAGTCATTTTCATCTCAGACAGTAAGATGTTAAATAACATGATGTTCCACAACTTGACAATTATTAGTGGTTTGTTTACTTTTGTTGTTGTTGGTTTCAGATTTTTGCTACACAAAGGCTATCTATGTTAGACTTCTCAAATTTTGAATTGACAGACTAGAGGGATGACAGCAAGTCCACAGCAGCCCGTATCAACTGTTGGGCCACTCTTATCTGATCAAATAGTGCGATTTGACTGTCACTCTTCTAATGCACCCACAGCTTTAAAGTGAAGAGTGAGATTATGCAGAATGGGACCTAAACCATGAACCCTCAGTTCTGTGAGTCAGTAAGTCTGTGGTTCACATCTCACTGCTGCAAAATTACGATCTGCACTTTAGGGGTGTGGGTGAGTAATAAAAGTGACAATCAAATCCTACTTCTGACAAATAGTGTTTCAACAAAATTCATTGGTAACAACTTGCTTTTTTTTTTCTTTTCTTTCTTGGAAATCTTTAGGATCTTCACAAACAGCTGAAGAATTCTGACTTAGCAGAATTAATAGTCCCCAGTGGGTCAGCGTTAAGTTTACAGGCTTAATATGCTAAAATCCTGGGTTCGATTTCCGACTTTAGACACAATGCATGGCTTTGTGCTAAATCAAAAAATACTAGGTTAAATGAAGATATTCAAATATTAAATACATCGGCTGAAATTTCTACAAGCTTGTTTTGTTTCTTTTAGCATAAACGGTGAAATATAAAAAGATTTTTATATCCATATCTTAGAAGTATTTCTAAGTTTCATCTTACTGTATTGCACATTATTCTGTACCCAACAAACTGAAAACTAATAACAGAAAAATGCTTTCAGCAACGAACCAATTCAAGACAATGTTGGAAGTAAATATGAACATAGTCAAAATAACACCCATGTCTGTACATTTCCAGAAATTAAAAGTTTTATTATAAATCTTCTATTAACTCATGAGAGATAAAAAACACATCTAAAATAAATTTTGGTGTGATGACTGAAAAAGCCTTCCAAAATACACACTTAAAGACTGAATGAACAATCTGGTATTTCTAAAATACACACTTAACTTAAAGACTGAACAAACAATCTGGTATTTCTAAAATACACACTTAACTTAAAGACTGAACGAA